CCCAAAGCAAAAATAAAAATAAAATAGTAAGCATCGTTTTTCGTATATTAAACTCACATCCAGCACAACAAAGTAGAACTGTATAACCAACAAGTTTTGGTCAAGATTTCAGGGGTAGGCAAGTAAGTGACAATTATTAATTATATAAGCATTAATGCCGGAAAATGTGGTTAATCTTGCGCTACTTCAGCACGCACAATGCACATGCTCTAAAATCTAAGCAGAGCATACTAGTACTTGAACCTAATTTGATTTCCTAGAGTTCTCATTCTAATATGCAAGAAAAATATGGTGCATATATCTCTATAACAGTTACTAATACTCCGTGTTAAATAACTGTTTACATAATATACACATAATAAATGCAAAAACTATATATATATATGGCACCTAAAAAGTGTGTTGGCAAGGAACATTCTAAGAATGAGACAACCTCCTAGTCGAATATGCCTGGTCTCATTAGCTCATTGGGGAATAATAACGTCTAGCGCTAAGCACTATCATCAGAGTAGCCAAGCTGTGTTCCCTGAGAGAATCTTCCATCTGGGTGCATCATGGGATTTACTGGAACAGGAAATTTGTGTGCAGAACTCACCAACGTTCTCTCATTTATCATTCCAAGTTCATTACACACGCGATCAAGAATCACCAGGAAGTCCCTCACCACCATGAAGATTCTGAAGGGGTGCGCCTCTTCTTTGGTTGAATTCCCATGGAAGTATTCGGTTATCTCCTTTACTAGAGATATAGCCACACTTTCTTGGGCGCGTAGCCTTATAATCTCATCCTCTGCCATTTTTAAAAACCTGTTCATTGATTCTGAAAACTTGTGTGTGCTACTTCCATCCAATACCGTAGCTTCATTCAACTTTACAACCTCTACAACGTTGAAAATCCCTTCAGAAAGCTTCACAACATCAGCGTGGAGGACTTCTGAATCCATGGTGGCGGCTTTCCTGACATTTTTTAGCTCTGAACTGAGGCTAGAAACAACCTGAAGGCCAAGCCTCCGGTGCGTGGTATCATCATTGAAAGCTTTCTTTCCATTTTGGTTTAGAGAAGCAAAATGAACACCTTCACTTGTAATTATCTCTTCAACGACAAAATGCAAGAGACTAGTATTTCCATCAGCACCCTTGATATCAACGAGCTTGAGGAGAGTATCAAGCTTAAATGCATGTGCATCACCACGGTTTGTCCCCACATTCATGTGGTTCCCAGTCTTCAAAACAGCATCAAGAAGCTTCAAAAACATCTTGCAGCTCCTCAACTCTTCACATGCCGCCTTGGAAATACAAAACAACCATTAGATTGTCAAAATGGCAATAGTGCATCAAATCAACCATGCTCTAGCAATGCCCATTTTACATCACATGAGTACCTCAAGAATTTCAAATGACCCTTTTAGATAGCTGATCTCAGAGTCAAATTTGGAAATGTAAAGCATTGCATGTATTCTTTTGAATGCGAAAGGCATATCAAGCAATGCCTTGAGAAATTTCTCAGCCGTTCCAAGTTTGAATGGTGAATCATCTTTATACTCTCTAAGCTTACGCTCCTCCTCTTTAGATGGAGCCATTTTCATCAAGCTCTCAAGAAGCTCGATCCCAAGAGCGTCAACATTTCCTAAATAAAGTAGCATAATTTGTCATCACAGTGAAGTATAATAACATAAAAAAACGAATGTTAATGCCGAATAACTGAAATCACAAACATTGTCACTGATAGTCTACATTCAATTATTCATTTTATCTTTGATCCTTGGTATAACATGAAAACAGTGAAATTATGATGCTGAATTTTGACATGTATAACACCATCTACCAGCAGAAAATGCATACCTTCTATGAGAGCTCCACACACTTCTTCAGTGGTGACATTTAGGACCCTGTTTTCTTGGCTACCCGAAGGAAGAAACTGGCATCGGGTTTTTTCCTGTGGATTTGATTTCGAATTTGGGGAATTTAAGACAAATAATGTCTCAATCATCTCCTCATTCGCCCTGTCAATGATCCAGATCAATATCAATTGCCAAGCAAAATCATAGTATAAGCAAAAACATGGATTCAAATTTGCAATGTAAAAAAATAAAGTACCCATCCAAGTTCCAAATTATCATACTTATATGAGCTTGATTCGATTTGATCCCACACCATTTCCCGCTCCGACCTCCCCCTCACTTTATCCCAATGCAATGGCTTCAATTTTGGTTTCGGCATTGCCTCATTCTTCCCAGAACTCTCAGTATGACTGTTTGGACTTTCTAATTGTTTACTCAGGGGTGGCAGAGGTGGAGGAGGAGGTGTTCGATTTTGACTGCTACCAGGAGGTTCCGATGGCAAAGAGAATGGTGGAGCAGAAATTGGGCTTCTCTGCTGCCTGGTTCTTACCTGAGATTCTGTATCAAGAAAACTGATTCTCGCCAAAGATTCAATACCCATTCCATTGTTTCTAGATGGAGAGTCCAACTTCGCTGGAGATTCAAAACCGTTGACAATTCTAAGAGGAGATTTTACACACCGATCCCAAATGCCAGAATTTCCAGGAGATGATTCTATGCTTCTTCTAGAATATCTCTCCGGGGAGGATGAACTAGCAGGAGACGGCGAATCAGATTCTCTTGCATAAACCCAATGTGCCACATAGACAGGCGGTGGGTGAGGTTGATGCTGAAGTGGAGGAGGAGCCGTCCAAACAGCAAGCGATTCATGTGACTTTAGCATTGAGCTGTTAGGGCTCAAACTCGCCTGCGGGGAAATGCTCAGACAAACTGACATCTTTGGCGAGGAAGAAGCAGACGACGATGATGATGAGGATTGTTCTAAATTCTCGACCTCGACCGCAGAGAATGCCCTCCTGGAAGCCGATCCAGTTCCGATCGAGCTCTCTCTATCGCCCAACGACCCTTTCGGAGAATAAAACACGTCAGTTTCTTCCTCTAGTTCGGAATTAAGCTCGGTATTCTCGCAGTTTAGGTTAAAGCTCTGCCTGTGAAGCGGCGCTAGCGGGCGGAGCTCCGGAGAGTCCATTTTTAGCGGCGTCTCGTTGCTGGTAGAAATACTGCTTGTAGGGTTTTGCATATTGCGCGATTCGATCGCTCCGTGTAAATTGACCATAGTGCCCAAGTAGAGGAATTCAGTACTGGTTTGGGATGGCCTCTGGAGCTTCGGAACGAGCAGATTCCCGCCGCCGCCCGCGCTATTGCAGTAACTCAATCGACTGCCGCTGTCGGATCTGTGGTCTTTCCCCTCACATAAACCCGAACCGTTCCGCCTCTTCCGGCGGACCAGCAAGACGGAAACCACGATAACGATCGCAGCGGCCGCCACGCCAGCTACGGCGGCGCCGATGAGCGTGGAAGGGACGGGCTTACGTTCCTGGGCGCGCGGGAGGACGACGGAGGAGATATTCGCAGGGAAGGACGCGAGCGTCTTGGGAGACGGAGGCACCAGAGGCATACCGTTGGAAGGGAAGAAGGGAGCATTCCCGTCAGCGGTGGATGCCGGCGGGAGGGAGACAGGAGGATCGGAACTCAGAGGATGATAAGGCTGGTGGAGAATGCGGCGGCCGTGTGCGGAGAAGGAGGATGCAGAGCAGGCCGAGCAGGATATGAGAAGCAAGAGGAAGAAGATGGCCGGCGACATTGTTAGGGCGACTCAGAGCAGAGAGAAGAGCGTGCTACGAGCTGTGGAGTAATGGAGTACAGAGAGAGTGAGAAAGAGAGTGGGAGGGATAAAGGAGATAAAGAGAGAGATCTGGGGTGAGAGCTTCCATGGTGGAAACATGGTGGGGAAGAAGAAGACGAGTGAAAAGGTTGGAAACGGTAAGATTCATCTTTTTCTTTTAACTTTGGCGCAGAGGAGAGGATATGGGTATTGGGTGCAAATGTGCAATGGCGTATGCGTCTATGTATCTATCAAAAATACTTAGGAAAAAATAAAGGTTAATCTATAGAGATAGACATAAACAATAATGAGAAATTTACATAAATAGGACTAAAATATAATGACTTTTCTAATATAGGATCATATGATTTTATTTTTCAATGTAGGACCTTTGGTCATTATCAATTAGTCATTATTCAAGTAAGTGTCCATCATTACTAGACATTATTTCTCCCACTAGACATTATTAAGTCCTATTTATGGAATAAAAAAATTTAAGTCCTACATTGAAAACTCACTTATGTTTTAGTCTTATTTAATGCAAATTTCACAACAATAATTGTAAGCATGGGTGCACCTGCTAGCTTTATTCAAAACTAAATGAGAACACGGAGAAATATTATTTGGGACAAAGAATATAAAAAAGTGAATAAGAGTAAAAATATAGGAATGTGTTAAAATGGAAGTCTAAACTCGCTAGACTATCATACTACCACAGTCACAATGTCATTCGTGCTCATTGGTTTCCAGAGGGCATCAGCATTGTCGACATTGACTATCGATGGTTGCGTCACTCTTTTATTACACTATTGTTAGAGTCTTATTCTTGAAATTAAACTAGTGGGTGATTTCTATTATGTGTTTTGGCATATTATCTAAATTTTGTTCTTATCTGAAAAGATTTCTTTATAAAAAGGTCTAGTCCATCCTTCTTATTAAAAAGTTCTACTGTTCTTTTTACATTCGTCTAAAAAAATTCATATTTTCACTTTTATAAAAGTTTTTATGTTACATACTCCTCCATATGAAAATCATTTACCTCTTTATCATTATGACTCTAAATAATTTTTGTTTGTTTGCATGTTTTTATTGATCATTTGTTAAAATTAAATGTTCTTGGCATCTAATGTTTTGTAGAACTTTTAATGTACTAAATGTAAGTTTCATTTTTATTTTTATACCAACTTATAAATAAAATCATTTAAAAAATCATGAGATTTTGCATATTTTGAGACAAAGTGAGTATAACTTATCTCTTCTATGGATTTATATTAAATCATACAATTTCACTTTTTAAAATCTTCGAATCAAGGTAAATGCAGAACCTTAGCTTTTTACGAGACAGCAAGAGTAATTAATTTGTAATTTTTTTTGTGATGTCAACCTTGATGTCTTCGGGTTTGTAGCCTTAGTCTTGAACTACAAAGCTTCTACAAAAACCTAACATCAAGGACGTAAGTTCACGTAACAGAAAGAATTTAGTTCCACTCATGTTGATATGTTTCTTCTTTTTTCTTTCATTTTTTCTTCTCTAACCAAAAGTGAAAATTTCTTTTCAATGTCATTTTATTTTCTGATTTTTTCTCTTTTAAATTTCTTAAATCAAACATACTCTTGGACTAAAGTACAAAGTATACAAACCTTTTAGGGTCTATAATCATAAGTTTAAATTTATGGTTCATTGGCATGTTATCTTTCGTTGACCTAGAATCACACAAAGAAATGTCTAATAATACACATACGGGCAATGTTAGTCATTAAAGAGTACAAAAAGCGTGTCTATCAAAGAGTACAAAAAGTGTAAGGTCAGATTCGATTCTTGACAATGATGATAAAAAAACAAGAGTGCTTACCATGAGATCCTGAAATGGGTAGCTTAGTTGGTCCAAAGGTAGCTTAGTTGTTCTAGGGAAGGATGTTGCCAAACCCAAGGTCCATGGATTGAATCTTGACAGCGGCAATGTGTGAGTCTTATTCTTGGTAAAAGCTCATTGTGGATACCGACATGAGACACCCCTCTTAAGACAAGACTAGAATTATAAAATGATTGCCCGCATGGGTAGCTCAAGTTGCCCAAAGAAAAGATGTCAAACCTGTTGATCCTAGAACCGAATTCCTGCAGTGACCGTGTGGGAGTTCTATTATTTGTAATTGCTCCTTGTGCGCGGTGCGTTCTTTAATGACTAGATTGAGATTATACTATGATTTCCTTTCTCACAATCCTGTCGGGCCGAGATGTGAGGATGCTTGGGGTGAGCATTTCACCTTTTAGAATTATACCTTTTTCGGAATGAAATTATTTTCACTAACAAACCATAATGTTATCCATGGCCTTCTCTCACGTAGGTAATGTAGTACTCTACGTACGGTATAAAGTATGATGAATATGATCACATCATGCAATAATATATCATGATCCTTTGAGTGTCCAGCTTTTGGCAAATCCTTCTTCCCAATTTGGCAACCTTCTTTATGTCTCTCATCCATGAAAAAAAATACTTCCTCAGTAAAAAAAAATCATTAGTCTGATTTAATTTATATGATCAAAATTTTAATGCGGCTAATCTAACACGATTGTAAAATGAGAATGCGTAAATAATGCAGGTTTTATTTATAAATTTAGGAAACAGTATTATGAATGAATAAATGAAAAAATACAGAGGGTACGCAATTTTAAGAGCGGAGGACTTCAGGTGTCCCGGGTCATAATGTGATCTTGATTTCCTAGGCCAAAAAAAACTCAAGAAAGTTAAATATAAATAAATAAAAATTAAAAATACATGTGTTTATTTATTTAACAAAAAGCTAAGAAAAAGAAATTTCTTTTTCCATAAACAAAGGGATCAATATTGGCGCTCTACTATATAGTAGTGGCATTCCACCTTTAAGGACTCAAGGAGCAACAAATTTTTCATCTATTTTGTTTTCTTGATTGTTGGGTGGGGTGGTGGGGGGGGGGGGGGGTTCAAGAAACCAGAGGGCCAATTTCTGTCTTAAAAATATGTTTGGGTATTGGCAGTTTGTATCGGCAGTACGACACGATAGTGGATAGCCTCCCAAAAGAACAATGTACTAAGGGCACAAAAAGAACAAATAACACCAAGAATCTAAACATCATCATCCCAACACTTGAGTTTGGTTTCATCAAACCCTCCACACACACAAAAAAAGACTTGATTTTTATTTCTCTATGTTATATGTATGTACAACAAGAACATGTTTTGCAACAATCAAGGACAACATCTGAACTTATATTAGAGACAAATCCAAACCACATTCCCACCCAAAAATGGATATCTACAAAGTAAAGTACAAATAGAAGACCAGAAGTCAGACCCTCAAGCTGAAACCACATAAATTTAAGTGTGTCTGGTTCTATGCTCAACTATCCGACAAGCTTGCGCTTGTTTGGCCTACTTGTAAAAGCCACATTTAGATTAGAGTTTGTCAAAGAGGATAATGTAACAGACAAAACCATTGTGAAACCCAATGTGACATAAGAAGGGATCACCCTTTACTGCAACTTCATTAATTTACTTCAACATGACAAGTTTCACCTTGTCATCAATCTCTCTTCGCCCCATATACTATTCTGCATGGAGAAGACGATGGAATTGTTAAACAGAAACAAAAAACAAGACAACACATCTCTTTATAGTCTTAAGTTTGGAGAAAAGTTGTCATGCTAAAATAATATCAACCTGTTTTGCATTCATTTATTTCAGTTACAGAACAGATACAAAAACCGTAAATAATATCCATCATATAACTAAAGTGGATTTGATTGTCTCTCACATATATCCAAAATTGTATTGTACAGAACGTTAGCTACAAGTCACCAATAGATTTCTGCCCAGTACCCATTATAAACCTATGGTAAACTTAGGCTAGTTAAGAAACTGCCCAGCACCTTAAACTAATAAAAAAGAGAATGTGGACTGCTCATAAAAATCTTTACTGTGTGTATTCAGTGATGTACAGCAACAACAAACCCTAAGTAATCTCACTAGGAGTTTCTACCAAGGGCACCCTGGCGAACATTTGTTATTGTGATAGGGAGCATATTCTATAATGAGTATACCATGTTGGTTAGTAAGCATGAAGCACCAGGGTGCTTGGTGAATGGTGAGCCTACTAATTTTCCTCCCACGAGTGTGTTGGGGGAATTCAGAGGGGAGGGGTGGGGTGGGAGTGCGAACATTAAAACTTAAATTTGAAGGGATTATCATGCATCAAACTGTATACCTCCAAAAAGAACCATAATAGTAGGTAAAAAGATCCCTTCAGATTTTCAACTGCAAAAAATCTGAGGACAAAAAATAAAACAACGGATACTCCATGCCATTTGTTAGCCTGCTACCTTTATTGCACTAACGTCATCAATCTTTGAGCTCTTGTGCTGCAATGAGTCAGTGCATAGTAGAAGAACACAATAAGTTTTAAAAATAAACAAGACTACACACACACACACGCTGTGTTCAAGTGAGAATTGATGCACTGTTTGGAGTTACGATCTAAGAGTTGTGAACAAGTGAAAAATCATGGAAAATAAAGAAGAAAAATACGGTGGTATTATCGTAAATAAGTCAAACTTCTTGTCATCACAAAAATACACTACTTTTATTATAAATATGTGCCTTGATGAACTAAAAATTGAATCATTTTTATTTCAAACATTAAGAGTCATTCTCACCAGAACCGAACCCTCTACGCACACATATAAAAAAGATTGAAGTATAATAAATATATCAACTGGAAAAGCTCAGGATACAAGATAAAAAGTTGGAAAACCAAAAAAATAACACTTGTTTATGTTACCTTGCTCTTCCTGTGTCTGTGATCATTGGTATCATCCTCTCCATCGTGCTTTCTTTTCTAGAGTAACAAAAATCTACAAATCAGTTGGTGAAAAAAAAGGTGTACTGAACACATGTATAGTGAGCTAAACACCTCTCAAGTCTCAACCACAATACTGAGAATTTTCAAGCAGTACTAAAAGCATGTAGTTTTTTCAGCATATCCATGGATTTACGTGTACAACAACAACAACAACCCAGTTAAATCCCACAAGAGTAGGGTCTGGGGAGGGTGTGTGTACGCAGACCTTGCCCCTACTCGAAAGTAGAGAGGCTGTTTCCAAAGAGACCCCCGGCTCAACGTCGAAAGTTGCATTGCTTGACTAACTGCTACTTCATTAAATAAAGAAGCGCAGACAGTTTAGAGATCCATTTTGATTTATTCCATCACACCCCAAAGCCAAAAAATGGTGAAATTTTGGCTCCATCAGAGATGATGGAAACATGGATTTACGTGTGAACTTCTGAAAAAGCATGGCACCAATCATGTTCAAACTTTTTGAGTGGGTAAACAAAAGTATAGAAAAAAATGGTTAAACACAAATAGCTTAAAACATAGTGAGCGGCATTATCAAATCACTAGTTCACTATATTTCAAGAAAATAAAACATCATTAAGGATTTGTTTAGTTGCAAGCATCCAAATTCCGAGGTATATGGAAAATGGGTTACAGCCATGAAACTTTTGAGAGGAAAAAACTGCAATTAGAATGTTTACCATACCTTATCGCGATGCTTCTTTGAATGCTCAGCACCAGAATCTTGATGGCCATTTTTATCTTTCTTTTTCTCTTTATCCTTGTCTTTACTTCGGTCCTTGTGACGATGTTTGTGCTTTTTATGTTCTCTATCCTTGTCCTTATCTTTGTCCTTGTCCTTGTGCCTTTTATGCTTCTTCTCCTTTTCTTTGGACTCGTTCTTAGATTTTCCCCCCGTAGTGGGAATTCCCTTTTCGGACTAAAAGGCAAAACATAAGATTATCAGTAGACTTTTAAGAGTACAGTCGTATAAACAAAGAATGTGATGTAAAAGCTGCAAGGTTGATAGGCCTGCAGTTCATATGCCTAAGCTTCAGATGCCAAGAGAGTAGAGGGGAAAAGCGCACATCATTTCCCAAAGAATTATTCACAAACATGCATCAGCAAGGTTCTTACAGTTGGGAGATCAATTGGACAAGTTTCCCTCAAATGAAAAGCTTCTCCCAAAACATCCAAATCAAATGGCTTTATCACTGTATTCATCTCTTTTGAAATGGAAGTATCATCAATAAGCTGATCCAATTGCATCCCTTCGCCTTTCCTAATTTCAGCATCTCCAACCACATTATGAAGATAGTGGGTATCTGAAATTGCTAATGGAAGTGGTCTCTTGCAGAAGTAGTCATAATGAGGCAACAATTTGAAGCGGCTAATAAGATCAGCAGCACCTGTAAGTTCTCTGGGGCCTGATATTTTAATGGAGTCAAGTTCACTACAGATATTAAATGGAAGTCTTTAAATTTTAAAATACAGAACATGAAAACAGAATACAACACATGATAGTCCCAATCGCCCCAGATCTTTTTTACACCAGACTTTGTTGTGGTATTATGACAATGAGGTTTCTTGGGGCCCTACAGTGCTTTGTTGGGCCCCAAACCGGGTCCTAACAGCCACAACCACGACCACCTGGAAATGGTGCAGTCACACACCCCTTGTTCATTATTGGCGACACAGGGCACCATCATACCTCCTGCACCCCCTTGGGCAACCCACCCCTACTCTGCATCCCTGACCCATCCCATGCCCAAAAGGACACCGCAGGGCCCCCAAATCATCTGGGGTCATATTATGACACCAAAGACAGGTGCCAAAAGAACCTAGCCCGAACAATTACTTATTACTTCACCAAACAAACCAAATGTGAACAATTTTAAGATGAAAAATCCTTATGGTCATATTACAATTACATAATGATGAAATCAAGACTGTAAAAGCATACTCTGTAATATTTAACAACTAACCTCTTCCAAATTTTTTGTTTTCGGGATCCATCAACTTGCCTCAAGTATATCGGCAGTTCGGCAGTGCACAGCTGCCAGTAAATGATTTGATACACACAGACTAGAAAGGCAGGGTCTATCCAGAGAATGATATCAGTCTCAGATTGCAGCGGAAGAACACAATGTCATCTAACCTTAAATTTAAAAAGACAGAGCCTAAATTAACATGTGGATTTTGATCTTTGCAGTTTAATAAAACATTATTTGAGGGTTCCTTAAGAGATTTAATTTCCCTTTTCAGGATAAAGACCACTTCTCTTGCTGAAATGTCAGGTGTGTGTGAGCAGAAGTGTCACAATTACAATAAGTTCCAGAACCATCTTTTACTATGCATCTACCCAAAACGGTTTTAAAAGCATGTATGCACAATTTCCACATACACAAGGATTTAAAAACCCCAATCTTCCAGAGAAAAGGGAAGGGGCAAACAGATTGTAAAAGCACATTCCTGAATAGCCCATTCACCCGAACAATCCAGTAAACTTTAAAAATCCAATCTTTAACCCCGTGAGTAAAGTTCAAGAAGAAGCCATTCCCGCTACCAAACCGTAAAACCTTCCGTTCACTCAACCCAACCTTCTTCGCACATCAATTGGTCCGCGCACTGCTCGATCTCGAAATCCAAAATCAAGAAACTACTTCCAAGCTAGGGAAATATAAATACGCCGATGTTAAATTCACTAAATAGAAACAGGCATACTCGATTGCAGTCAGAGATCCGCGCCGGCGTCCTGGAAACGCGGAATCCGTCCCGCTCCCGCTCTCTCTACCGCCGCCGCTTTAGGTCGATTTGGACACCTTCCCGAATCGGAGAATCTAGCGCGGTCGAAGAAGACGGATTCGAGAAGCTCCTGGATTCGTACGTAGCTGAGGAATATTCTTTTGCGCTGTGGAATTATAAACCCTAATCCCCCCAAGAAAGAGTTGGGAAAGCTTTCTCGCTCCGACCAGAGAGAACCCACGAAGAAAAAGATGATGATGTGTGGTGATATCATGGCTTCTTGACTTTCTGTCTTTGTAAGTTGACTTTCTTTTTGTTTGACTGAATTGCCCCTGGCGTTAAAGATGCAACCCGGGGTGTTTCCTGTCATTTTGTCTATGCTCTTTCTTTTGTACTCCGAAGTGGCAAGTTTTGAGTTTGAAAATAGTATGCCTCAATTAGGCAATCACCACATCCCTCCCCCATATGTTTTTGTCTCATTTTTTGTGAAATGGAAAGCATGAAAGGGAAAGAATCAAATACTTGTATACTCTTTCAAATAAAAGATTATGTGATCAAATATACTCTTTCATTGATTTGGAGTCTTTTTTTTATCTAATTGTCTGCTCGTAAAAATAGTGTATGTTGTTATTTAGTTTTCCAACTTAAGAAATATTTAATGAATTGAATTCTTCAATATACCTTAATTAGGAAACTACATTTTCTTCATCAATTAGTCTGTATTATTCGACGAATCTATTTTTAATATTAACTTCTTATTCACCACTAACTATTTTCCGCACGTGATCCACCTCATTTAGCAAAATACATAATCATTTTGTAACAGTTCAAACCCTTATTTGAAAATGACCATTTGTATGCTTGTTTGATTTTAGTTTTCCAACAATTTTCCACATAAAAGAAAAATTAATTTGAAGGTTGACTATGTCCCATGGTTGATACAGAGTATATGTAGAGGATAGTTAAGAGCTATCTTTGAACTTAACCCTCGTAAAGATAAACTATTTTTTCTTGTTTAGTAGAAAATGATATTTTTGAATTATCATGCAGTTTAGATAAATGGTTGTTTGTCTTACATAGGTATTTTTCTAACGTCGTTATGTTCTTAAAGACGTGCCCATTTTAATCTATCATAGAACATTATACCTAGTTCTATAAGAGCTACTAAGGGATCAAGTTCAAAATCCTCTTTTTGAAGCAATCACAATGCTCTGCTTGTTTAGGCAATTCTATAAAAACATCTCGAATACTCCACCTTGAACAACATGTGGTGTTTGCATTCAAGAATCATTAATACAACAAATAGGCAACTCTCATTGTTTACAGGAATCACTACTCGTGGGAATGAATGGGAAGTTCCAAAATGGTAAAATTTCAGGCCCTTCCTCCAACTCTCCAAGTGACTGTGTTCCATCTTACAAATAAGTTGTTCCATTGATTCTTGGCACCTGTCCAACTAGAGTTTTCTTCATATAATCTTGGTACTAACCTAATGGACTTCAAGCTCATTCTTGCCACCAACTTTTCGTTCAACTCATATGTTAACCTCACTACTACTAAAAAGAATTGAATACCACATTTGCATCAGTTATTAAAAACGATGCAAATGGGATAGTTGATTATGCTCACAACTTCTTTTGCATCGGTTATTTCTAATAATCAATACAAATAATCAATTATATTGGTAATTAGAAATAATCGATGCAAAAAATATAAAATCAATGGGATAGTTGATTATGCTCACAACTTCTTTTGCATCGGTTATTTCTAATAATCAATACAAATAATCAATTATATTGGTAATTAGAAATAATCAATGCAAAAAGCATAAAATCATGGATGCATAAACACTCTTTTGCATCGATTTAACAACCGGAATTGCATCCCTGCTTTTTGTATTGGTTGGAAACTGATGCAAAAGGACAAGAACAACCAATTCACAAGGTCTTTTACATAGTAGCCTTTTGGTTAGCAAATCCTCCAAATTATCTTCTAATTTCACAAACTTACAATTTTAATTCATAAGATTAACTCATTCAGACTCATGGCATTCATGTCAAACCAACACATGCATTAGCCGGATGCCCCGATCATGTGTTTGGATCCAATAAATAATCGGATAAAATGGCAAAACTATGGTTGAGATAAATGACACCTCATCTAAAATAAGACATAAACAACTTCCAGAGAGAAGAGATCCATTGTGTCGAGATCAAAGTAAAGCAAGATCAATGAAAACATTTTGTTCTAAAAATGTCATAATCAACAAAAACCAAGATAGTCAAGCTCACAAAAGTACAAAACTGTTTTGTAGTAACAGATCCTCATCAAAAGACTGCATAATTGGTAGTTTTGAATGCAGCAAATATGCAACAAAAAAAGGTCTGGAATGAAAATGCAGCTAGGAGACTTCAAGATGTTGTAGGGCAAATCTTTCACTCGTCATCATCGTCCTCATCATCATCTTCGTCTTTTCCAGCAGCAGCATTTAGGGCATTCAGTCTCTCAATCAACTTAGCCTTCCTCTCTTCATAGGTCAGCTTCTTGAGGTTGAACCTGCAAGTACACATAGGAAGAGAAAAAGTTAAGGCACTCTGTATAAGATAAAGTTAGATGGAAGCTCCAAAAGGGCATTTGTAATATACCTCATGTGTTCCTTGGGTGGCTGTTTCTCGGACTTCTTCTGGCTAGGGTTGGCACGGATGGCTGCGTGAACCTTTTTGTACAGCTCTTCAAGGTTGTCGGCGTCGATGCCCTTCTTGATGTATAAGCTGAAAACAGATTGGTACTTTTCTGGCTCATCCTCCATCAGAGTCTACATACCCACGGAAAACCAGTCAGACAAGTTTATGGTGGAAATGCAATAAGTCAAAGGGTGCTAGAAGGGCCTTGTTTGGATCAAATTAGACAACTCTATTTAAGATAAGAAAATCATTAGATCAAATCACAGACAAGATACAACCAAATTATAAGACCAAATCAATGCATATCTAAACATTCATGCGAGGAAGAATATAAAATTATAGATCCTCAAAAAATAATAAGATGAAATAACATTTTCTGGCAGAGAGAACAGGTCCTTAATGCTAGAGGGTGGGGTTAGTGGTTTGGTAAAAAGAATTGCAGAAAATAGTTGTGTAGAAATCAATTTCATGATGAAATTGTTCGCCTGGAAAAAAAGTTGTCAAATACATAACCAAATGTTGACAGAAATGAGGAGACAACTGTTTCCAGATATTATGTTTTGAAAAGGGTAAATAGATTTTCTTAATTTTTATAGGTTTGTTTAGAAGAAAATTTTTTAAGGTGTAAAGAAAATACATTTCTTTGAGACATTTGAGTTCAGTATTCTTTTGGAAAATGTGAATGAAAATAATTATTATCAATACAGACTACCCATATTTAGATTTCTTATTCTTTAGATGTTAGAATTATATAAACAAACAAATAAATGAAAATTTGAACAAATTATAAAACAATATTGAGTTTGGATTAAACACTTATTTGAGAATGTTTGGATCTGAAATTTTAAAGAAATAACACAGATAAATTTCTTGAGCTTGACCAAAGTTTTAATTTCACCAATCAAAATGTTTCCCATATTTTCCTCATTGGATTTTTTTCCCCAGAAATCTCAGAGTTCCAAACAAACTCTATAGAATCAAAGAAAAAATTTACACAAGGTAAATCAACCATTATCAGAAAATTAGGAAAATAGCTTTTTATAATTATTATTATAACACATATTGTGGGTGTGAAAAAAACAACGAACAAAAATTTACACAAGGTAAATCAACCATTATCAGAAAATTAGGAAAATAGCTTTTTATAATTATTATTATTACACAAATTGTGGGTGTGAAAAAAACAACGAACAATAATGTCAAGTCACCTTCATGTATGCAGCAACATGCCCACCATAGATGTACTTGCGGTGCACTTCAGGATCAAGTTGCTTGGAATCCTTGCTGAATCCAGCAAACCTTTTGTCACTGTGAGGAATGTCAATCCCACCATCTAATGCCCCCTGAAATTAACAAAAAATTATTACACAATATACCCTCAAACTTTTCAACACATCTATTGCTTGATTTTAGTCCAAAAATCAGTGCACAAACATAATGCGAACAACTTCAATCAGTGCACATGGTGTTCATTGAATGATATTAACATATTATACCTTAAGAGCACCAAAGACCCTATTCCCAGTGGTAGTTCGGATAAGACCAACATCCAAAAGAGCACGGAAAGGTCTCCGACTCTCACCTGGTTCAACACAGTAATCCTCTCCGTTGGCCTGTACAAAACAATAACTTTGCATAACATACTTCATTTGGAAGAGAGATAATATTTAGTCAGGCTGAGCAAGCTATGTATCAGGATTAACAACTCACCTCAACGTTTCCTTCATACTCCTCATCCATTTCAAGCTTTTGGAGAAGTCGTCGAGCCAAAAGAAGCCCAGTGCAATAGGCTACACTTATAGGTATAACCATTAAAGCAAGGTGCTTCTAAAAAGGTTAATAATTAGAAATAACTGAAAAAAAGAGGTACCTGCAGCGTAATTTGTGAGACCAACTTCAAGCCCATAACGAGGCAATTCATGAGAATAGGCAGAAGCAAGAATCATGTCACCCGCAATACTAGCAGACACAATTTGTGTAATTATATCTGTGTTGGTCTGCCCAATGGAAAAGGTAAACTAAGTATGTACATTGAAGCACAAAGTCACGACACAACCTTTTTTGTTCTTACTATAACAAAAACATGAGAATTATTTTGTGTGAAATACAAGAAATGTGTAGGCAAACATCAGAAATACATTTAATACCCAATAAAGCTAAAGTAAACAAACATAAACGAAATGAGAAAAGTGAAAAAGACTCAAGACGACCACCACAACCGGAAAAAAGTCACAGTAAGTAAATAAAGCAAAATTATGTAGCACATACAAAACGAACAACAAGGCGGTATTTCGGGGTGTTATATTTGTTCTTGTCCTGATTGATCAGCCTAGTCCTTGCTCTGTAATCCGTCTTTCCCTCTGCACAAAACACAGAAACATGAGAGATCTAACAGAAAGAAAGCCATTGAGGAAGCTAAATCTGATTCCAAATTGTCTCTTCAAAGTTCAAACCTCTTCTTCTCTTGAACTTGACCTGAAAGCGCTTGAAGTAAGCCCTCGACTTCTGGACTTTGATGAACACCTGCACGTGAATTTTATCAACAATGAATGTCACAAATTCGATCTACAAACATAATAACTATCTACATCTATGAGCAAAAACTCGTTCAGACAAACAAAAAAACCATCACGGGATTCATTCGAGAGAGCACTCAAATGAAGATGAACATAACAAAATTAGCCATTTAATTACAGCTAAAAGTCCACAAAACTTTTATAAATTTAGAATTTAAAATATACTACTGCCCTCAAATATACTACAAAACAAACATTATCTATCTTCTTCAAATCTTCAAATTCTCAGCAACAATGGATCAAAACATATGCATATGAGAATGAAAAAACAGAAAAACGATATTGAATAAGCATAGATCTATGAATCTAACCATTGCTGCCGCTGCTGTGATAACCTCCGCCGCCGGGTGGAGCTCAGGGGCTCGACTGTATCGATAACAATGCCTAGAAAATGAAATAGAGAAAGAACGGTGATATATATCTAGGGTGTAATGACGCTGTATGGAGTTGAAGTTCGGCTTGGATCCAAATGGAAAATGTTAAGTGGGCTGACAAAATTTACGCAGCATAGAACAACCGGCCCAATATCCTTTAAGAGAGTCCATATTAGTTTTTTTTTTTTTAACAAAGCTTATGGGTGATAGTACATGATTGAAATGCTAAGTTGATGAGCCTCTTCAACCAAGCAAATTAAAAAGAAAAAAATAACTTAGGATGAGGTAACTGTTAAAAATTTATTTCTGTGGAGTTACATCTTTAATTAAACATTGTGGATATTATGATCCAACTGAGAAAAAAAATTCTCACAATATGTTGTCCTTTTTTTGAAGTCACAATATTTTGTCTATCGATACAATTTCTTATCTTTCCTTTAATAAGGAAATAAATGTATAGATCGTGTGTGGTGCTGTATTAGCTAGATCTTGTTCTTATGTCTCCCTACATTGGTTTGTTTATTACAATGCATTCTTTTTTAACTCCAGACTCTTCTAATGAGCTTATGAGTTATGCCTACATTCAGCGACAGATCCAAAAATATTATACCCCATTAATCCCAGAGTGTTCCTTTAGTTTTATTTTTTTACTTTTTCTAGTAAAACTAGATAAATTTTAATCATTAATTACTTTAAATTTATACTGCAGATTAATACAATGAAATATCATTGTAAAAGTTATCTACAAGATAAATCTAATAAAATTATTTTTACTTTTATACTTCCTCCGTCCCAATTTTGATTACAATTTTATTTTTTCTCTCCTCTCGATAACTATTATTTATTTGTGTATTTTTATTAATTATTTGATAAAATAAAATATTCTTGTTAGCTCTTGTTTGTAGAACTTTTGACTTAGTTTTTTAACATGTAACTTTTTTTATTGATATACCACTTTATTAACAAAATGATTTCAAAAGACATGAGATTTTACCTCGTAATTCCCAATTTGTAATTCAAATTAGGACGCAATGAGTATATATCATCATTTATATTTAATTGATGTTCAAAATTTGTTTAATTTAATTTGAACAAATTAAACTAAACAAATGCAAAGAAACGATTATACTATATAATTGATTATTTGAACTCTTTCATTTTTTTCAACATTTTCTAATTATTTCTAATTTATTTAACTCCAAATGTTTTCACTCATTCAACATTCTTTTTAGACTAAATTTTTAAAATGGTCATTTGTAATAAGGTGTTTTCCCAATTCAATCTTCAATAAGTTTTAATTACCTACGTGGTCCTCTATAATTGAGATTTATTTCCAAAATAGTCCTTCGTAAATAACGTTACTCAAATAATGATTAATTGGAAGATATTTTGGTATTTTGATCATCCAAATTTAAAGTATATTTTCGAAACTGTCATTTTTGTATAACTAAATGTAAAATTAAAAAAATACATTGACTATAAATAATTCATGAATTATTTAAAACTTATAAAAAATGTTTTAAATTTAAAATCAAATACACATATTTAATTAGAAAAAAACCATTTTGGGAAAACACTTCATTATAAATGATCATTTTAAGAATTAGTTCTAAATATAGCGGATAAAAAATACTAAAATACTCTCGATTAATCCTCATTTGAGTAACATTATTTACGAAATACTATCTTGAAAATAAATCTCAATTATAGAGGACCACGTAGGTAATTAAAATTTATTGAGATTTGATTTGGGAAAACACCTTATTACCAAGGACTATGTTAGGAATTTACTCTTCTTTTTATTTCTAACTTATTTTCTTTTTATTTCTAACCTAGGGCCTGTTTGGGAATAGCTCTAGCGATTAGCGTTAGCGTTTTGAAAAGGCTATCTACAGGTAGCGTTTAACGTTAGCGTTTTCAAAGTAATCTGCACCGTTAAAATTTTATCCAAAACGCTAACGATAATCTCTAACGCTATTTCCAAACAAGCTCTTATTTTCGTTTCTTTTGCGGTCTTCCACTTTCTTGTGATGAAACTAATGAAAGAGCAATTGAAGTCCCCGATTAATTAAAAAAAAAGTAATTGACGTCACTAAGTCTGTAAACGACGTCGTTAAAGTCGTCCCTGTTCTATACCCCCTTCTTCCATCTTCTTCTGCTTTCGGCTGCTCTGCCCACAAGAATTTTCTTTTCAACCCCCACCGTTATTGACCTTAATCCAGTGCAGGAAAACTCTTTTTTTTTAACTAAAAATTTTATTTTGTTTTGTTTTTCTCACGGACGGGAGAGTCAAAATGATCTGAAAATGTCAGATGCCAAATGGGGATCAGTCTTGATCTGACGTTGAAGGATGTCCCAAGCTGATGTCACTTACAGGTTTATCTCTTATCTTCTTCTTATCATCGTTATATACATCCATCAATACTACTCCAGGTTTACTTGTTGGATCGCTGAATTTTCTATTTGGTGGTCTTTTTTGCATGAATATGCTCTTGGAAAGCTGTTGTCTTTGTATTGTTTTTTGCCTTCTTGAATTTGATTGTTCTTTCTATATTACTGGTAATTTATGGTTTTGGTTGTGATTGGGATTTGACTCCTGGGTTTTCGTGATCCTTAAAATGTGCTGTGATGAATGTATGAATCTGTTCTTGCTCGAAAGGTGTTGTCTTTGTGTTATTTTTTTACCTTCTTGATTTCGATTGTTTCCTTATATTACTGGTAATTTTGGCTTTTGATTGTGATTGTGTGTTGACTTTAGGGCTTTCATGATCCTTGAAATGTCATATGATGAATGTATGAATCTGTTCTTGCTGGAAGATTTTGTCTCGTTTTTTGTTAACCTTCTTAAATTTGATTGTTTCCTTCTATTATTGGTGATTGGATTTTGATTGTGATTGGGTTGACTCGCGGGCTATCACGGTTCTTTAAAATGTGCTATGATAAATGTATGAATCTGTTCTCGTTGGAAAGTTGTATTTGTGTTTTTTACCTTCTTGAATTTGATTGTTTCCTTATATTACTGGTCGCTTTGGTCTTTTATTGTGATTGTGTTTTGACTTGTGGGCTTTCATGATCCTTAAAATGTGCTTCCCATGATTTCTTCATTCTTACAAAAGTGTACTTTTTTTTTGCCCCCTTCTTAGTTTGATAGTTTAGAATTTTTCTGTGAACTGTGGGTCAGTGGGTATGTTGGATTTCGAGAATTGTATATTAAGGAATAAGCTTGATATCCTTTCTTTATCGATGCCTTAGTTTTAAAATCATTCTTTTATTGTAAACTAACTAAATTTGCTACTTTACGACTCGTTATCGCAGTTGTGGCTCTTGTGGATATCCTCTCAACTTGATATCATCCAACCATCTGACTTCTGGAATTGGCTCCGAGTACAGTAAAAAGATCAAGAAAGGTTTCATCTCATTTACATCCATTGACCTTAGTCGGTTCACTCAAGATGAAGTAAACTGTCTTCCTATTCCCATTGGCTTTAGTCGCTCAAAAACCAAACTTCTCTGCCGGAACTGTGGAGAAATAATTGGTTATGGGTATGGAGACTCGCCCACTCTTTGTGGGTTTCACTCATCTCCCTCAATTAGCCCCTCATTCAAGAAGTTCATGATAAAGATCCGATCTTTACAGCCTCTGCAAGATTAAAAATGGAGGAACTTCCTAATGATTGCTTAAGTCTGATATTTCAACACCTGGATTGTGGCTTTGACCGTGAATCCTTCGGTTTGACCTGCCACCGTTGGCTAAGGATTCAAAATTTATCCCGAAGATCCTTGCAGTTTCACTGCTCACTCAATCTCCTGAATGTTTCACCTCCTGCAACTCATTCCAGCATCAGCACCTCCCATTTGTCGAAGTTACTGAACCGTTTTCAAAGCCTGCAATCTTTGTCGCTCTCTGGATGCACCGAGCTCCCTGATTCAGGTCTAACTCAGTTGCAGCAACACGGCTCTAAGCTACAGAGCCTAAACTTAGACTGTTGTTTTGGAATTACAGCTAAAGGTCTCTCCTTTGTTGCCTCTGGCTGTTCTTCTTTGACTCTTCTCAGTCTTTACCGTTGCAATGTAACGGACGCAGGGTTGGAAGTGTTGTCCAAGTCCTGTCTTTCTCTGGAGGACATAAACCTTGCTTACTGTTACCTCATAACCGACAACGGGGTGGGGCCCATTTCACGAAACTGCCCTCGCCTTCGCGCCATCAGAATATCCTACTGCAGGGGCATTACCGGCATTGGATTTCAAGGCTGTTCCGGGTCACTGTCCTATGTAGAGGCGGATTCCTGCAAGCTCGAACCCGCAGGCGTGCGGGCCCTACTGGGCGGAGGTGGGGTCCAGTATCTGAGCGTGCTGAACCTGAGGTTGACCATTTGCGGGGACGGTTTGACCGCGGTCGGGACCGGATTCTGTTCAAGACTGAGAGTCCTCAACTTCCGTTTCTGCAGGACGATAGGGGACGAAACAGTCATAATGATATCCAAGGGCTGCCCGTTGCTTCAAGAGTGGAATCTGTCGCTGTGCCATGAGGTCAGGGTACAGGGGTGGAGAGCCGTCGGATCAAACTGCCGCCACCTGAAAACCCTCCACGTGAACAGGTGTCGCAATCTCAGCGACGAGGGGCTGTGGGCCCTCGGCAGCGGCTGCAGGCGGTTGACGAGGCTCCACGTCACCCGGTGCGGCCTGCTGAGCCCCACTGCCATAGAAATCTTTAAGGTTTCAAGAGGTGATGTGGAAATCAGTGAAGATGAGATATCATGTATTGCACCACCAGGGGCATTCCGGTTTTAATATATATGTATAGGTGCATTTGTGAAGTTATATTGCTTTGAAAGGCAATTTGTGATTCACTTTAGTTTTCTGTTATATATCATAGTTGTGTTTATGATAAGTATATACATGGCTAGTAGCAATATCTAATCAATACTTGCATACAGAATTTATCATTACCTTATTCATCTATTTGTATTCAAAATGATTTCCTTTTATATGCTCCATATATTATCTGTCAAAATCTGATGCGAACCACTGAAATGAAACCGGAATCGCGGGTTCTCCACATGACGCGAATTGGATAGGGATGATTTTGGTTGACGGTCGGTTCGGTTCTTGTTCCGGAAACTTGCCCCGTTTGGTTTGAATTTCAAGCAAAGTGTTTTTGACGTGGACAAAATGCTTATTTGTCTCGTTTTTACTATATTCTCAACTTTAACTTTATGTTTGGTTCAAGTAATTTGAGAGGAAAAAGAAAAGAAAATGAGATAAAAACAAATTTATGTTTGGTTCTAAGTAATTTTTTTTGTTTGGTTAACGTTTTTATGGGCCCGCAAGCTGAGGATCAAGCAACTAGAAACCAGATAATCAACACTGGTAAATGAATCTCCATAATACATAACTATAGTAAAATACAGTAGTAAATAATATTTGTAAAGAAAACACAGCAAATACTCCCTATGACACTGTAACATCCATATTTGTAACACCAAATACAGAGATTCAGAATTCAAGTTTCTTTTAATGAAAGATAAAATATTGCATTTCACAATTCAAGCTATGGGAGTGTGACGCATTGTACTAACCAACTGCAGCATGGAAGCTGGACTCCATGCACAGAGCGGCAAGGCCGCGTTTGGCTGCGGTCACAATGTAACTGTGTAGGGGTAAACAGAACCGCATGCATTACTGTGTGCCCCATACGCTGTCCCAGGCTCCACTGGGTCCCCCACCAGCCTTTGGCCCCTCAATGAAATTTTGACCCCCGCGAGGATCTTGTGGGCCCGGAGGATGAGATTTCTTAGGCTTTGCCTTCACTCCTAATAATCTTAGCACAAACCCGGCGAGCTCCCCATACAATAACCCTGAACGGTCGAACAGCTGCAAACAACATCCACAACTCATGATGTGTTTGTGCTTTTGATTCTTTGGATCACCTTTGAAGAATATTTTAAATTAAATGGAACCATTGCAATTTTCACATCTATTGGTGGTTTATTTATCGGGATTGATTGCTAAAGTAATCATTACACGCATAAAAAGTAATAACAAAATATATCTATTGGATAAAGAAAATGTAAATGGATGAACTTTCCTACTGATTTTTTAAAGGACCGCGAATAGATAAACAGATTGTTTTCAATCGATCCATTGACATCCGGGGAAAAAAATTTATCCGTTACATCCATTGGCCACCCTTAGTGTGATTTGAGATACAAAGCAAAAAAAAGGGCAGAGTTTGGAAATTTAGAAACTATGAAATGAAAGAAACAGATGGGTAAGCAAAAAGGTACCTGAAGTAGTGCAGTCATGAACAAGTGGAATGCTTGGGTATTCTGGTCTATCAGCACTGCTACCCGCCCAAAAAAAGTAACAACGCCTTGCATCTGAAATTGGTGGAAAAAGTAATTATTTAAATGGCCCACACATAATAATATGCAGCACCAAATAATTTTTGCAGTTTATTCCTTAACACACTAAAGCGGGCGGGTGGGGGACCAGGCAGAAAGTGTCAAAAACACCTCTGTATTTGTAACAAAAGCAAAAAAAATCTAAAAAATCTAAATGTGAATAGTTATTGATCCTATGACAATTAAGGTTCCCTCTTCAAACCAAACTTGCCACATGCCACAAAACAAATACAGAAGAGTTTTACCAATCAAATTGCACAAAAGATATCCGGAAGAAAGTTGCAACTCTAATGACATGCAGACAAAAGTGAAGAAAAGAAGAGCAAAACCAGCCTCCTAAAAATAGTCTCAAATGGTTTACCAAATTGACTATGAGGGGAAACAGGGATGAAGGGGAACATACCACTCGCATCAAGGAAACCCAGAAGCTTGGCGGAGATGAAGGGGAACCATATGGATTGTTCGGATCATGCTCTCCATATGGCCCGCCCATTCCATAACCACCCATTGGGCCTCCAACGGCACCAATTCCATTGTTGTACATCCCCCCATTAAACATGCCACCTCCATATGCTCCACCGTAACCTCCTCTATACATGTTATTCCCATACAATCCACCACCATACATGCCTGATCCATATCCACCATATGAAGTGCCACCATACATCCCTGACCCATAACCGGAATTGTAGTTTAAACCAGATGAATAACCTGTGTATGAGACAACAAGACAGTTTGTATGAGGAACATCAATAAGATCAATGCAATGTCATTGCAGTAAACACTTTAGTAAAGCCTATACCTCTGAAAAGAAACAAACTGATAAAGATAGATAATAGCTTATAGATATTGCAATGCGATGACACATATCTTAACAAGAAACTAAATAAATATAACAAAACAAATGAGACAGTATAATAGGGAGTACTACGGGTGGTCTTAAAAGGTTGGCTGGGTTCTCAAAATCCATATCACATCAAAAATTAAATACAAAAAGAAATCTATTAAAAAACTCCCTCCGTCCCACAAAGAACTTCCATGTTTGACTTCACAGATTCAAGAAAAGAGTTGAGAAGTGAAAAGTGTGTGGGTAGAATTAGTTTTTAAGAGAGAAGTTTTGTAGGCCACATATTCCTTGCACATCATATTGGTGCCCCTTGGGGAAATTGATAGCTTGCTTTAGGATTCCTTTGCGATAGCAAAATATCGGCAAACCTAAAAGGGAAGTTTTTCGGGTTGTGGTAAGACTATGTTGTATGGCGCAGAGTGCTTCGAGCTAAAAATGCTCACATTTGGAGGCTACACCTGGCAGAGATGACGATGCTGAGGTGGATGTGTGGTCATACAAAGATGGACAGGATCATGAACGAGGATATTCGTTGAGGGGTAGATGTGGTTTCTGGGGAGGATATACTGCGTGATGGTTTGGACATGTACTGAGGAGAGGCACGAATGTCCCAGTGAGGAGGTGAAAGAGGCTGGAGGCTTGAGGTAGGGGGCAGGAGGAGGGGTAGAGGTAGACCTAAGAAGAATTGGAAGGAGGTGATTAGACATGACGTAGGGCTTCAAGATCTTACCAATGGTATGACCTAAGATAGGAGCGCATGTGGGTCTATTATTAGGGTGGTAAGATAGTCCTTCGAGAGTTCGAGCCTTAGTTTGTGGAAACTTCTTCTGTGCTTTTGTGTCTTAGTTTTTAGTTTCTGTTTGTGACTTTGTGTGCTTATTTTGTTTGTGTTCTCTTTGTTCGTGCTTCTTTCATTTGTGGTTATACGCTTGTGTTTCGAGCTAGAGTCTCTTGGAAACAATCTCTCTACTTTCCAAGCAGGCGAAAGGCATGCGTAGACACACCATCCCTAGATCTCACTCTTTAGGATTCTACTGGGACTGTTGTATCCATGTAATGAAAGTTTTATGTCCTATGTGCATTGTGCAAAAGAGTGGTCCCTTATTCCCACTATGTTTGTCCCATTTTTCTATTTTGATCTAACCCAAAATGTTTTTCTCATGCCATATTTGGTATTATGATATAAGTTCCTCAAGTTTCATCCTACTTAGCAAACTCAATTTCAACCATACAATTATGTTTTCCTTAATCTGTGAGACATTCTCCCTTTTGCCAAACTTAGTGGGATGGAGGGAGTATCAGGCTATTATATTCAAGAAGCAACACTTTAATGAGGTGTCAGGCATCTCAGTTTTGTAGCAGCTAACTAGTGAAAAGAAAATTTAGGTGAAAATAAAAACGAGTGCATGAATATTTGTGTTACAAAAAGATGATACCTCCATAGGTGGTGCCATATGTCTGCTGTGGTTCCCAAGGCCGGCTAGGTACTGGTCGTGCAAGTGTATTTGTATTAACAGCCATATTCCTGTTAGCTGATGTGACAATTTCACCTGGTTTAGCAGTTCCTGATGCCACCACTGCATCACTTGTGCTGCCTGGAGAAGGCGGTTTGAAAGGTGCAGGACCAGAAGAGGATGCAGCTTTTTCCCATGGCTTTGGTGGAGAGCCATTACCTGCCAGCAGATATGAAAAAAATATAAAAGCTCGTTTCGCTACCCAATGCCCATAGAGAGAATATTGGGAAAAGAACGTGTATTCCTTGAGAGAAGAATATGTGGAGAATACATGGGGAAAAATTGTTGTTTGGTTGTAGAAGAGAAATTGCTGGGAAAATTTTTCTATTGTGAGGTTAAATTTGGAACGGTAAAGAATAAGCAGTATGAGTACTTAAGTGCCCTTTCATTCATTTTATCTCAAACTATTACACATATTCTAAAGAGGTTTTCCGGTCTGAAATCACCCACTATTTCTTCCTTGACCACAAGGAATAAAGAATAATGTAGGAAGCACCTAAGAAGTGCAGGGATAATTCTATCCTCAAAGTTAAGGGAAAAATACTCTAAAGAAGACCCACCTTGAACCTACCAAACAAAGGAACCCCCTCCCCTCTATCAGGGAATACACAAAAAAAATGAAGAATTTTTCCTCATAGCGGACTGCCTAAAGGAACAATACATGTGCAGGGAAGACAAGAATTCAAAGGAGTCGGGGATGAAACTTGTAAAAACATCTCACGCCCTGCAGTTCTAGATCATTCAAGTGGTTATGACTTGGGATGCCAAACAAATTCACAATATAATGACTGAATAACCTTACAATTAGCTAAGATGATAATTTGGTTGAGACTCACAGTCCAAAGTCCAAACACATGAATTTGCTCACAAGACACAAAAGCCAATTAGGTCATGTTTCCCAGTAGAGAATAACTACAAATCAATTACCAAAGAAAAGTGATGCCTTCATGCTGAAAAAATATGAATCGAACCATTCCAAAATTTTACGCCATGAATAAGAGGAATTTTTTTAAAGATTTTTTTCAGTTTCGTCAGAAAATCGATTCCATTCTTCTACGGCATGAGAGATACCAAGGCTACTAAAGCAGATAAAATTAAATTATCAGATTCCTCCATCAGAATAGTCTTCTTATATTTTCAGTTTAGAGACGAACAATAACCATTCAATCTCGGGAATACCAAGGCTACTAGAGGGGGGATACAATTAAATTTTATGAGGTTTAGATGAAGAAGATAGGAATTGATACAGATCGAATTATGCGGACCTGATTGTTGCTGATTGTTCTCCATCGTAAAAAGCGGCGGCGCGTGGGGATGCCCGGATGTACAGCCACCGCACGAAGGCGAAAAGAGAGATCAGACAGTCACCAGAAGACTGTTTGTTTATTCATCCGTATTAGAGCATCTCCAATCACTTGCTAGGCTTGCTAAAGTTATTTATTAACATGTGAATAGTGGTATAGCAAGTCATTTTACATGATCATCTTCAATCTTTGCTTGCTATAATTTAGCAAAAATGTATTGATTTCACTATTAGAGTACACTATTTATTATAATTTTAAAATTTTATTATAAGAAATAATTAATATTCTGCAAGTATGCAATTTAAACTTAAAATAAAATAAATTTTATAATTTTTTTGGTAAAAAATAAAATTATTTTTTTTGTAAAAAACATAAAATAATATTTATTAATTTTTCTTGCGTTGTGGTATTGAAAGTAGGGAACAAATGCGTCATGATACATGAAAAAACTAACCCAACCAACATTTTTCTTCTTCTTTTTGGCTTGCTATATTTTATCAAGTTTGTTATTAGTAGCAAGCCATTTTCATTTTTAAGCAAGCTTGTCAAACATTAGCAAGCCCCTTGGAGTATGAAATTTTACTTAGTTTGTCAAATTGTAGCATATAGCAAGTCATTTTAACATGGTTGGAGATGCTCTTAGGGAATACTTTTTTCCGATAATACATACTCCGTACAGCTGCAGCATAAAAGGTCCCCATAATAGTTTGCTTTACACAATTAGGGGTGTTTGTTTTTTGGCCAGAAGAGCTTCTGGCCTCTTTTGTGTGCGCCGCGCAGACGCGCGCATATGCTGAGCTCTGCAGATTGTTTGTTTTTTGGAAGACATTTCACTCAAAAAGGTCTTCCTGACATCTTCTTGGAGAAGACATTAACCTATGTCTTCTAACATCTTCTCCATTTTTTTTCTTCTACTTCTCTTCACCACCACCACCGTCCACCACCATCACCACGGTCCACCATCACCGCCACCGTCGTCAACCACCACCACCACCGTACACTACCACCATTAATTTATATAGCAGTCTACAGACATTAAAAAACAAATAGTCTTCTTCTTGCAGACCGCAGACCTTCGGTCCACCACTTCTCCTGCAGATGTCTACAGTAGTGGTCCGCAGACTGCAGACCTTTTCCTGCAGAAAAAACAAACACCCCCTTAGTCTCTATATATCAAAAATCTATAATTTAGGCTCCAATTATTATATTTTTTTTATGAATGGTCCTTTGTTAATATTTCTGTTAAAAATGTGGATAAAATTGTAAAGTCATGCTCTTCTCTCTTCTCAATTAAGTTTTCTTTGTCCTCTCGCACTCCTCGCCCAAACATAACGCTGAGTTTGAATCTTTGAACCCAAAACCGAAATCATCACTCCTCTATCAATAATTCGTCTTCTTGGTGGAATCAAAAATTGAAACCAGTAACCTTCGTTGATGAGTTTTAAAGTTTGTTTTCTTTGCAATTTCCTAAGACTAACTCATAAAATTCATCCATGAAGGTTATTGGTTTCGATTTTATGTTCCACCAGGAAGATGAACAATTGATAGAGGAGTGATCATTTCAGTTTTTGAGTTTAGAGTCTCAAACTTAGCGTCGGGTTTGGGAATGAGTACGAGAGGAGGGAGGAAGCTTAATTGAAGAGAGAGAGAGAAGTGAGAATATACAATTCTACTCATATTCTTAACGGAAATGTTAACAAAGGACTATTTATAGAAAACAATATAATAATTAAGGACTAAATTATTGATATTTGATATGTAGGGATTAAATATATAAAACGACCTATAACTGGAGACCTTTTATGAAATTTACTCAAGTTTTAATGCTCCAAAAATTTCATATTTTTAGATTCAACCATGCTATTGCTCATAAATATTTTCCTCAAATCCTATAATTATTTTGAGAGAAAATCTTTTTTATCAAGAGCGTATTGATTGTCATCCACCTAGAGCTTAAATCATTTCTCGTGTTCTACTCTTTAAGAGATTGCTTTGTAAAGGAGAGTTTAAGAAAATTATATCTTCTTGTTTGTATTTCATTCTGCTAAGAGCTCCATTTTAGTAATAAAGTGCCTGACATTTCATATTTTTAAAAGTTCACGGATGATTTGTGTAATTTGTACAATTGAGGAAGAACTTTAAATCCAAATATAAAAAGTTTAAGACTAAATGCATTATTTAAGTAACTAGAACATTCAAATCTTGTAGAGATTAAATGGACATTATAGTTAAATTACTACATATAAATTTATTTTCTACAACATTTGAATGTTCAAGGCACTAGAACAATACCCCGCATTATAGGTTGCGGCTAGAAGATATTGCTTCCCAAATACGGAGTATAAAGGAAAACGAGTTTTTGTATAAATGCGATGTGGTAATGTCCTTTCCTCTTTCTTTCTTTCTTTCTTTCTTTCTGGTAGATGGAATGGCGGAGATTAAGATTTAAGATCGATGAATTTCACAAGTTATGGGTTCGCCGCAAACCCGCAAGGAACACATTGAATTGAATGTGCGGCAGCCGGCAAGGGCGGAGGCCAATTGATGAGTTCTTTGAAGCTTTTTTTTAATACTCTGTATGAAATTTACATTAAATATGACTAAAACATAAGTCATTTCTCAATATAGAACTTAAACTTTTTTATTTTCTAAATGAGATTTAATAATGTCTAGTGGGAGGAGTGGACATTTACTTGAATAATAACTAATGTATAATAACCAATGGTCCTATATTGAAATATATAAACATATGGTCCTATATTGAGAAAGTCGTTATGTTTTAGTTAGACCTGACAATAAATGACCCAACCTGTTTTTTACCCGAAACCCGACCTGAAAATACTGGGTTTTGAACAAAGGTTTTGATGACCGAACCTGAAGTTGACCAAATCCGAAATAACCCACTAAAAATGGGTCAAACCCGACCGAACCCGAACTCGACCTGACCGGCCCCCTAAAGTAAGAATTTTTTAAAATCACACACTTTATTACTCATTTTTAGTGTATAAGTTTATATTTTCAGACAAAATTTTAATGATATTGCATAATTATTTTACTTTTTTCCAAAACTTAAGCATTTTTTAAATTCCTTATATTGATTTATATATCTAAAAACTACTTCAAAATTTAAAATAAAATAATCTAATGGATTTAATACATTTATTTTGATATTTTAAATCTATTTAATAGAAAATGTAAGTGTTAATGTTAATTCAAAAATTTAAAAAACTCAAGTCATAACCCGCGACCCGAACCCGATGACACTGCTGGGTCATGAAAATACAGTTCCCAACCCGAACCCGAAATAACCCGAACTTGAAGTGATCGAACCCAAACCGACCTGACCGATCGATTTGGCACCTCTAGTTTTAGTCCTATTTAGGTAAATTTTGTATTTTTATACTTCTTCCTATGTATATATTTTCTCCTTCCCAAAAATGTCACATTTCACTATTAAAAAATAACGGGAGTTTTTGTTTATTTTTGCATTCTCTTTGATCATTTGATAAAATAAAATATTCTTATTTTTTAAAATTTTTGTCGTAGTTTTTAAATATATAAAAACTTCAAAGTTGTATTTGTGGGTTCTGTGTTTTTATTGCTTTTGATTCTATTGTTCTAATGGAAAGCCTACTAATTTGATAAGATTGATTTTTTTTTGAAGAATAAATTTGGTTCATAATTGCTCCCCAAACATATATGTATATAATTAAATATCATTTCTATGTTTTTCCAAATATTTTCGAATTAGATTTCAAAATCCATATCAATTTCTTCTAAATTTTAAAAGTCATATCTTATCAATCCCCAAAACTCGTTTAACTTGCCCTAAAAGAATTTTGATATCATATCGAATAAATCCAAAAGTGTAAAATCGTTGATACTAAATTACTTTATAAAACTTTAAAACTTATTCAAGATTTAGGGTCCCTTTGGGAAAGAGGAAAATGACTTCCCGAAGTCATTTGGTTCTAAAGTCAATATATTATGGGAGGTGGCGTGATAAGTTCATGTTAGGCTAAGGTGACGGTTTACTAGCAGAGTTGGAGTATCAATTTTCTAATGAAGTATCATATGAGGCCTATTCCGGGCAATGTTATAATATGACGCCCAGTCCTAACCGAACTAGGAAATTCACTTGTTTTATACTCCCTCCGTCTATGAAAACCTTTCTTCTTTCTTTTTTCATCGGTCCAAAAAACTTTTCTCATTTATATTAAAAAGTCACTTTTACTCATACTAATTTTTAACTTACCTATCACATCACATCTATTTATTACTCCGTCACATTAAATCTATCAATCACATCAAATCCTACCTTTACCCGTCACATCAAAAAACATTTTTGGAAACTCTACGCAAAAATGCATTCTACTTAAATCATTTAAAAATTAAAACCTCTCATCATGTTTTTAGGGACGCAGGGAGTACATTGAAATAAATTATTTACCTCGCAATGCGTGATTACGAATTAGTTAAGAAAATGTGATATGAGTAAATACTTTGCATTACCTTTGTCTCATAAAATAATTATCGTTTTAGTTTTTTGACAAATTTAAAGAGTGTATATTTTATTATCGCCTTTTTAATTTTACCCTTGGACGAGATGAATATACTACTGACGAATAAAAGATATGATTTGATATGTGTGTTAATAATTAATAAGAGTAAAATGAACAATTTAATTAAAGTGGAAATGTTTTATGAGAATAGTGAAATGCTAAAGTTGAGTTGTTTTGTAAAAGGGACAGAGTGCACGTTGTAAAAAATGGACGAAATTGGCCCCTCCCGACCAACCTTAAATCCCAAATCGCCAAATATATGAGTCAGGTCCTATTTGTATATATGTAATTAGATGGACCAACAGCTGTCTCTGCAGGCCAACAAAAAAATGTTTATATAAAAAACCAAGTAAACATTGGCTTTCAAGCACTCATTCAACACTAGTAAATAAATATTAACTAAATATATTAGTGAAATTTTGAAGGGCTGAATGAGTGATTGAAAGCCCAAAGAAGACAATAAAACATCATTATTTCAATGTTTAACGGTTATACGAATGTGCTTTCCTAAAATAAAGCAAAATGATCATTGATATACATACGATGTGGTAACCTTGTTTTCTTCTTGATTTCTTTCCGACAGACTGAATAGTGGCGGCGGCCCATGGGTCGACCGGACCGCCGTAGATTTCACCTTTTTTCTTGAATATGGATGGAGGCAGTCAAGCAGCACTACTTAAAATATCCTTAAAAACTACTACCCTCTCTGTCATAATACGAAGTATTATTTTCCACCCACAATTCACACAGTAAAATTTTATTCACTTTTTATAATACGAAGGCCCATTTGATAAATTAAGAAGCTAAATGTTCAAAGTAATAGAATTAGTTAACTAACTATAAATAATTCCGTACCATAATAATGATGATAATAATAATAATAATAATAATAATAATCCCGTAAACAAAGTGAATAGTAAAAATGCAAAAGACAGAGAGAGTCATAAATTGAAAAATAGATGCGTATTTATGTTTCAATCAACTATAAAGTACGTTAATCACATGCTGTAATATGTTTTCTCAAATATTATTTTTTATATTTAAACCTCTTGAAAGTCCTAAGAATTATCCCTGCTATAGCCGTTGTCATCAATATAATAGAACTCTTTATCAATCGATCAATATTTGCATCAACTCATGACATCTTCATCAAATACATGACGTAAAACTTTTTAAAGTTAAGAATTCGCATAATTTTTTAAGAGCTAGAGAGCAAATGACGTAAAACTCTAAAAAGATAGAAACCCAAAATAAAATGTTTAAGACAAAATACATTATTTAAATAACACGAACATCCAAACATTGTAAAGATTAAATAGACATTATGGTTAGATTACTAAATGTAAACTTATTTTTTACAATGTTTGGATGTTCAAGACACTTAAACAATTGTGCTTCCCTAATATAAAGGAAAATGAGTACTTATATAAATGCGATGTGGTAATACGGAGTATCATTATTCCTTCTTTATTTCCAGTCGATGGAACGGCGGCAGTGGCCACACCGCTCCCCGGGAGCCGCCGTGGTTAGGAAGGGCAATTAAGATTTAAGATGGATGAATATTCACAAGTTTAAGTGATGCGTCCGCTACAAATAAGAGGAAAATTTTTTTAGATTTTTTGTTTTCAGTTTCCTCCGTCAGAAAATCGATTCCATATTTCCATTCTTCTACGGCATGAGAAATACCAAGGCTACTACCTACTAGAAGCAGATAGAATTAAATTATCAGTTTCCAACCACTGATTTGAAAACCGGATCGGACCGGCCGGTTGATCCGCAAACCGGCAGCCTATCGGTACGGTTCAAATCCATTGGACCCGGCGGGTGACCGGGTCAACCCGATCGGTATCAGGTTTGAGCTTGGATATTCATTTTATTTAATTTTAATGTAAAAAAAAGGTTGCTAGAGATCAAACCCAGTTTTAAGCCGTAGGTCAAGTGAGCTAATCAATTTCTATTGAAAATCTAGGTATAAATTTTACTATATATTTAGGGTTTTACAAAAGGTTAATATAAAATAAACTCATCCGTTTTTTTTTGCATGTGTGAATTTGTATTTTATAAACTTTTAAAATAGTTCAAAAAAAAAATAATATTTATTTTTAATTTTAAAATGAATATACTTTATATATTTTATAATAAAAAAATTATTATCTTTAAAAAATCAAGTAATATTCATTAATTACTATAATTTAATATGCTATATTTTTTATTTTTCAATTGTTTTAACCAACTAAATATAAACTTTAAAATGTCATTTGTATATAAGAACAAAATATGTAGTCTTTACTTTTTGAAAATATGAGTATCGCCTTATTGTTAAAGCATTTGTTTAACATTGAATAATAATTTTTTATAATAATAAAAATAATAGAATAAAAATAGAAGATGTGAAATCGCATATGTACAAGGATATTAAAAAATATATGGAGAATAATGACATAAATTAAAATACTTTTATTGACTCAAAATATCTAATATATTATAAAATGGTATTATTATAAGCATATTGACTGGGTCATTGACCCAAGTTTGACCGGTTCGAACGGTCAACCTTTAACCTACTACCTCGTCCGAGTCGAAGTCCGGTCCGATTTTCAGAACATTGCTTTCAACTCATTCTTATTAGAATACTCCCCCTTCTTGAAAAATTAAGAATGTTAAATTATAATTGAATTTTGATTTTATCTTTGATGTGATAGGTAAAAATAAGATGTGATTGATAAATTATTAGAATAAAAGTATAATGTAATAGGTAAAGTAAGAAAAAATATGGGTAAAAGTGGGCTTTTAATAAAAAATGAAATTGTTTTGGTAGAAGAGAAAAAATAAAAAAGGAAGTGGTTGGGTGAACAGAGGGAGTATTACTTTATCTTACTTAAATCATTTCAAATTAAATCAGAACTTATTCCAACCTAATTAGAAATATTCAAATCAAGTAAAGAAAACATGGTCTAATTCTCCAAAAGGTTCATACTCCGCGAGTTTAAAACTTTATGATATTTAAAATTATTTTCAATTCGTTATATATAAAATTTGGTGTAGAGTAATATTTACATATTTAAAAATTATATCTAAAATTTTATAAAACAAGATATACCATGATTATATTATTTTATCTAATAAATAACAAAAATGGGTAATAAAAGTCATTAAAAACTGACTATGTGAATAACAAATATGCAAGAGATAGGGGGAGTGATAAATTGATAATATATATATAGAGTAAATTACATAAAAGGTCCTCAGTTATAGATCGTTTTACATATTAAGTCCCTACGTATCAAATATCAGTAATTTATTAGTTCTAAATTATTATATTGTTTTCCACAAATAGTCCTTTCTTAATATTTCTGTTAAAAATATGGATAAAATTGTATATTCACACTCGTCTCTCTTCAATTAAACTTCCTTTTTCCTCTCGTACTTATTCCCAAACTCGTCGCTAAGTTTGAAGATCGAGACACAAAACCGAAACAATCACTCCTCTCTCAATCGTTCATCTTCTTAGTAGAATCCAAAATCGAAACCAATTGTATTCATGGATGAGTTTTATGGGCTGGTCTTAGGAAATTGTAAGGAAAACAAACCTTAAAATACATTCGTGAAATTTACTGATTTCGATTGATGATTTCGATTTTATGTTCAAAACTTTAAACTCAGCGACGGATTATGAAAAGAAGTACGAGAGGAGGGGTAAGCTTAATTGAGGAGAGAGAGGAGCGTGAATTTACAATTTTATCCATTTTCTAACAGAAATGTTAACAAAGGATCTTTCGTAGAAAAGAATATAATAATTGGTGACTAAATTATTCATATTTAATATATATGGACTAAATATGTAAAATAAACTACAATTGGGGACCTTTTATGGAATATACTTATGTGTGTGTGTGTGTGTGTTACATTTGTAAAACTTTTGCATTCAAAACGGAAGTAGACTTTCTTGTGCATCGTACGGGTGAATTACTAATTTATGTTCCAATCAACTAAATTATGAAGTGTTCTAGATAGAAGTTGTAAATAATTTTGAATATAAAGTACGTTAATCACACGTTGGAAGCATGTATTCATCTAAATTCATAAATCACATTTGAGTTATTGAAAATGTTTTCTGAAAAAAGTCATACTTTAGACATCAATAATCGAATTCAAAGTCTGTGCATAAGTCAATCAAATTCTTCATCAATCGGTCAATATTTACATCAATCCATGATATCTTACTACAATTCCAATGTATATATTGATGAGCGTGTGATTAATGCGCTTCTGAATCTAATACATACGGACAATAACATTTTTAAAAAATTCAAAGACCATTCGTGTAATTTTTTAACATGAGAATTCTTAAATCTAACACATATGGACTATTGATGTAACATTTTTAAAAAATTCAAAGAGCATTTGTGTAATTTTTTTTCGTGTAATTTTTTAACTTGAGAATTCGTATGATTCTAAAAGTTCGTGATAAACGACATAATAAAAAAACCCAAAATAAAAAAATTTAAAACTAAATTCATTGTTTAAATAATTGGAGCCTTCAAACCCTCATTGAAATTAAATAAATATTATAGTTAAATTACTGAATACTCCGTATTAACTTCTTTCTTTGTTTCCTAAACCATCACCCCACCTGCCTCTAGCCTCCCTCACTTGATTGGGCTTCTTGAAGGGTCAGGAGATTTAGATAAATGCCAAGAGTCACAAATTAAAAGGTAACAAAATTACAAATTTACTATGTGTAAATATAATTTTTTATTACAAAATTTACAAATTTACTATGAATCCGTTTGGTATGTAGAATTGGTGGAATTAGAATTGAATTGGAATTGAAATTTCATAGAATTCAATTCCATAGAATTGAATTCTGTCAATTCCAATTTATTTTTGCACTATCAATTCCAAATCCACATAATTTTTGTGCTACTAAACACCAGAATTAGAATTGAAGTCCTCAATTCCAATTCCATAATTTGAATTCCATGTACCAAATGGGGCCTATGTGTGAATATAATTTTTTATATTTTAATTTAGTTTTCAAAAAAATAGTAAATTTATGAATTTCATTAATATTTGATTTGTAACACTAGTATTTGGAATTTACGCAGTGTTTGGTTGGAGGTAGGTGGATGTAGGGTGAGGTGAGATTTATAGACTACCTTGTTTGGGGAATCAATCGGAGAAGGTAGCCGAAGGTAGGGGGAGGTAGCTTAGCCGCGGAACAGTGATAAAAATCCGCCCGCCGATTCTCATGTAACTCGAGGTAGGTTTTGCGTTTCCCTTCCCTGTCCTCCTCCTCCTCCTCTTCTTCTTCTTCTTCTTCTTCTTCTTCCTCCTCCTCGGATTCCACTTCTTCAGTTTTTGCGACTGACTTCCGGGATTTTGCAGGGGTTGTCTCTCCTTCTTCTCAGATTTCTTTTGCTTTCAATCTCTTTCTTTTTTTGCTTTCAATCTTTTTCGTTTTCTTTTTGTTTTTTGTTTTTTTGTTTATGGTTTTAAGCTTATGTTTTTATTGTTTTCTTTGGTTTTACTTTTCATTTTTTCTGTTTTTCAAATTTAATTTTTGTTCTTTTTCAATTTTTTTTCCATTTTTTTTGTTTTCAATTTCTTTGTTTTAAAATGTATTTTTTTCTATTTTTGTAATTGATGGCCACTGGAGAAGGAAAGAACCAAATTACTTAGGGGTATTTAGGTAATTTCTTGTGTTCCTTATCTTACATTACCTACTAAATATCCAAACATAATTTTTCAATTTCTTACCTTATTCTACCTACCTTACATTACCTACCTTTAATTACTTACCTAATAAAACTTTACCTACCTCCTACTAAACACAGTGTTAAAGTTAAAAGAGAAACCATATTTTTTGCAAATAATTAGCATAAGATTATGCCTACTCATAATCCCAAACCCCATTGTCTTTATTCCTTCGAATCATCTCATTTTCGCACTTACCAAAATAAAGAGGGCAAATCTATTTCCTAATTAGGACGTATGGTCGTGGATTTTCTCGTCATCTACTTGGCTCTGTGCTCAATTCCTCCAAGAGGACGCCCAAATTCCCGCTCTTCAAACCTGATATTCAGGCTCAAAGAAATTAGAGGTTTGGAACCCAATTTGAATTCCTCGTTGTTTCGGACTTGAGAGATTTTGTCTGTGTTGTTTGGTTTTTTTCTCTGTTTCGGATGGCTGCGAGTGCGAACGCGGCGCCGGGAAGCGGCAACGAGAACAGTAGCAACGGCCAGGAAGCGGCGGGCAACGCGAATGGCGCCTCCGTGAATGGCTTGTCTGTACCGGAGAACTCGGTGTTAGGGCCTACCCAGGCCGCGCTCCGCCATAACCCTGGCATATCCGTGGAATGGACTCCCGAGGAACAGTCTCTTCTGGAAGAATTGCTCGCAACGTTAGTAAATTTTCGCTCTCTTCTTTATCTACTTTTGAATTGGCATTCTGAATTTACATATGGATTCACCCCTTTGTGAATTTGATAAGATTTGGGTTTTGTTTTTGCAAAGATTTGAGTTATGGTCCTGTGGGGGCGAGAACTGTCTGGGAATTCTTAGTCAATCACGAAAGGTTCTTTATTTGAGCCCATGTGTATTAATGTCCCATTGGAAAAGGGGAAAATTAGGGGAATAAATCTTTCTGAAGGTCAAAATCCCTCAAATTAGGTCAAAAGATTGTTTTTCCCCTTAGAATCTAATGGATTTGATAATTTCCCATGTGCCCTCTTCTTCAAAAGACATCAAACTATGCCTTTTAGTTAGTTTGGAGTCACCTTTCAATGCCCTAGTATATTTCAGCTCGTCTTTTCTCAACTTTGACTTGTAATATTTTCATATATGCTCCAACATTTGATTCAGGCTCTGAGCTGACTCTGCAATTAACCTTTTGCAGATATGTTAAGGAAAGTAATGTAGTCCGCTATGCGAAAATTGCGATGCAGTTAAACGACAAGACTGTTCGGGATGTCGCTCTAAGATGTAGATGGATGACAGTAAGCATTTGATTTCATGTTGATTTTGTTATCTTTCTTTCTATGTGTGTGCAAATGTATCCCATATTATATATCAACCATCAAGCTAGTTGGAACGCGAGTTGAATGCTTAACTACTGAATATTATTTTGCCCGTGTTTTAAAAAACAACATTTTTATCATGTTAATGGTTTTCTCTATGAAATCCTTAATACGCCCATGTATATGTCCACTGTGTGTGAAGATTATATGCCTAGATATTTAGGTATATTGGGTTCCGTACTTGGTTTAATTTTTGTAAACATCATTGTATTCATGGACTGCTCAAAGTCTCAAACATAAATTTTGTGCTTATGTGGGCCACCTTGAGAGCCATTTCTTTCTATTTCAGTGGGATGTCTAGAGTTAATCGGCATTTCACAAAAGTGTAGATTCTTGCTTAGTAGTTACTGAGTAGTAGTAAATTGCTCTAGATAGTTTTAAAAGCATAG